GTGTGACTGAGCTGTGGTGCTGCTGAGCTATGTAAAGGATCAAGAGCTAGTTGGCATCTATTGTCCTGAAGATGGGTTTGTCTACGGCCTGATCTACACGTGCATGAGACTGAGGTGGCAGAAGTGCATTAATTTCCCTATGAAAGGAAGACAAGCACAACATAAAAAGAGCAATTAGCTCCTTTCTCCGTCCCTGGTATGCTAATCTGCTATCTACAGAAACTCAAAGCCATAAGGAGACTGAGGGTGCAGTCAGACGGCGTGCTGGGAGTGGTTTAAATTGCTCCGGCCCTGATGTGGTCTTTTTTAACCTGGAGAATTGCAATCACACTCACCTCCTTGCTCCGGATTGCTGCGCAGTCACATCGCTCCCCGCCATCCACACACGGGAGCGTGGGCCGCTGTTGTTTTTCTCTGTCTGAGTTTGGGCATGCGCACAGGCAGCCATCTGTAGAACTACAATTTCCGCGCGTGCGTAGAACAGCGATTTCCACTTCAACCCGACTGCTGTAATGCTTCCCTTTAAACTTTAAAGGAACACATGACCGAGACCTGGGTGCAGGAGGGAGAGACAGTGGCACTCGCCCAACTTGCTTCCCCGGGTTTCTCGGTCTTTCACCAGTCACGGACTAGAGGACGGGGGGGAGGGGGAGTGGCGCTTTTCATTCGGGAGGCTTACTCCGTCAGGGCGCTCCCGCCCTGATCACGGGCATAGAGTGTGTCGGCGCGATGATGGAGGCAATTTGGCTGGTGTACCGACCACCTAACGCACCGGCCAATAGCCTACCATCCCTGCTGGAGGCCGTATCAGGCTGGGCGCCGGAGCACCCGAGGCTGCTGGTCTTGGGTGACTTCAACGTCCATGCTGAGGACGCGACCTCCAGCCGGGCTCTGGACCTAGTGTTGTCCATGGGAGCACTAGGACTCTCCCAGGTCGTTTCGGCCCCCACGCATCGGGCGGTCACACGCTCGATTTGATCTTTGCTGCGGGAGTGACGGTGGACCGGATTACTGCTTCGGCAGTACCATGGTCGGATCACCACATCCTGAGGGCCCGTCTGAATGTCCCACCCCGACCCTGTTTAGGTGGCGAGCAGATTTTGGCTCGCCTGCGGAGCCAAATGGACCCAGTGCGGCTCCAGAGGGCTCTGCGGGATCTACGCACACCTGGCGGCTCGTTGGAAGAGCTGATGGAGGACTGGAATGGCCGGCTCTCCTCAGCTATCAACGAGATCGCTCCCAGGCGCCTTCTCCGCGCTCGCGATAAGCGAGCGCCCTGGTATACCCAGGAGTTGCGCTCGCTGAAGTGAGAACTGAGACGGCTAGAGAGATGGTGGCACCACGCTCGCGACGAGGTGTCCAGAACATCCCATAGGACGCTTATGAGATCCTACGGGATGGCAGTCAAGGCCGCAAAGAGGGACTTCTATGCGGCCTCGATTGCGTCTGCTAGCTCACGCCCGGCCCAATTATTTAGAGTAATTCGGTCTTTGACAACTCTGCCTCAGGGCAAGGAAAATGTTAGGGAATTGGACATTTGCTGTGAGGCTTTTGCGAGCTACTTTGCAGATAAAGTCTTGGCACTCCGCCGTGACCTCCCCGACACAATTGATAGTTAGTGAACTTGAGGCCCCTTGCACGTCTTTGGGGCCGGGTTTAGTGTGTTTTGATCCACTCAGTCTGGAGGAAGCTGACAGGTTGTTCGTATCTGTGCGCCCAACCACATGCGACCTTGATCCATGCCCCTCTTGGCTGATTAAAGCGGGCCACGAGGGGCTGCGAGGTGCCCTACGGGAGATTGTCAACAAGTCCCTCATGGAGGGATGGTTCCCGAGAGCACTCAAGGAAGCGATGGTCCGCCCTCTCCTGAAAAAAAACATCTCTGGACCCGGCCGAATTGGCCAACTATCGGCCGGTGTCCAATTTGCCTTATTTAGGCAAACTTATTGAGAGGGCAGTGGCGTCACAGTTGCAGGGCTACCTGGATGAGGCTTCCATCCTCAATCCCTTCCAGTCCGGGTTCCGCCCAGGTCACGGGACGGAGACGGTACTGGTCGCTCTGACTGACGATCTCCGTAGGCATCTGGATCGTGGCGGTGTGGCGGCACTGGTGTTGTTAGATCTGTCGGCTGCATTCGATATGTTAGACCACCAGTTGCTGGCTCGCCGCCTCACCGACGTGGGAATTCAGGGGCTTGCCCTTCAATGGTTTACCTCTTTTCTCCAAGGTCGGGGACAGAGGGTGGTGATAGGGGATCAGCGGTCCCGAAGGCACCCCCTTGAATGTGGGGTGCCTCAGGGAGCCGTGTTGTCCCCGATGTTGTTTAACATCTACATGCGCCCCCTTGCCCAGATTGCCCGGAGGTGTGGGCTTGGGTGTCATCAGTACGCTGATGATACCCAGCTCTATCTGATGTTGGGCGGCCGGTCGGACTCCACTCCCGATGACCTAGAGCGGGCATTGCAGGCCGTGGCTGGTTGGCTCAGAAATTAAACCCGGCAAAGACGGAGGTCCTGGGCCTGTGTCGGATCGGCCGTGAGTTGGGGCACCCTCTCCCGGCCTTCGGTGGGGTACCGTTGGTGCTCGTGCGGGAGGTTAGGAGTTTGGGTGTGCTCCTGGACTCCTCGTTAATGATGGAGGCCCAGGTGGCGGCCACTGCCAAGTCAGCCTTTTACCATCTGCAGCTGGCGCGGCAGTTGGCTCCCTACCTCGACCGAGATGACCTGGCCACTGTGATCCATGCGACGGTCACCTCGAGGTTGGACTACTGTAACGCTCTCTACTTGGGGCTGCCTCTGTCACAAATCCGGAAGCTGCAGCTAGTGCAGAATGCTGCAGCCAGGCTGTTGATGGGTCTTTCCAGGCGAGACCATATCCGGCCTGCGCTGCACTGGCTGCCTATAGCATACCGGATTCGCTTCAAAGTGCTGGTGCTCACCTTTAAAGCCCTGAATGGCCAGGGTCCTACCTATCTAAGGGACTGTCTCTTCCCGTACGTTCCATCAAGAGCACTGAGGAAGGGGACGCTCCATCGTCTGGAAGTTCCAGCTCCCCGAGCTGCGAGGTTGGCCCATACTAGATCTTGGGCGTTTTCGGTGGCGGCTCCTTCCTGGTGGAATGAGCTCCCGGAGAAGATCCGGGCCCTGCGGGACCTTGTGCAGTTCCGCAGGGCCTGCAAGACGGAGCTCTTCCACCAGGCCTTTGGGTAGGAGCCGCCGCCACCACCTTCGCTATACCATCCTCGATGTACCGTCCACCTACCAGATTCCATGGAGGTGGTTTAGGCTGATTGCTTTGGGACGCTCTCCATGGGTCGCAAACATGAGTTGCTGAGCATCTTGTATAAAGTATAGATTGTATAGATTTGAAGCACCAGTTTTATTGTATATGTAAAATTGTTTTGTTTTACTATTTTAAATATTGTTGTTAGCCGCCCTGAGCCACTGGGTAGGGCGGGATAGAAATCGCAAAAATAAATAAAATAAATAAACGTTAACCCCGAAAATGGCCTCCATGAGATCCCGAACTCGTCTAAATGCAAAAACTAGGCACCATTTAAACATTGTTTTTAATAACGCGGTGGCAAACCTCTGCCTATGCGCACACTGCCAACGCTTTAAAAAAAATGGTGAGCGAAAAGCGGAAGCCTCAGGCAGCTTTCGAGCGGGGAGGGGGTTTAAACCAGAAGTGGCTCAACACCGCAGGAGCGATCAGATGTCAGAAAAGTGCGGCTGGAACCAGAGAATCAGGAAAACACCACTTGGGGACCTGGTATCAAAATACTCCAGGTTAAAGTGGTTTTGAACCAGAAAGCGATGGCTGGGGATGGGAGGCAGATGTTGACCGTGTGATCGCGCAGATAAAATCCGTTTCTGAGGCGGGTCAAAAGTGGACTAAACAGCCCGTCTGACCACACCCTGAGACTGGGAAGCGAAGTCACGAAGGAGCTAGAAAAGATTAAGTGTAAGGCTGTGTCACTGGTAACCAGCAAGACAATTCATACCACAGTATTCCTCATTACTAGCTATGGGTGTTAAAGTTGAATAGTGAAGAAAGCAGAAAGGAAGAAAGTAGATTCCTTTGAAATGTGATCTTGGATGAAAGTTGTTCATATACCGCAAACTGCTAAAAAAACAAATGTGGGTTCTAGGACACCCTGTCCCGAACTCTCCCAAGAAGCTAAAATGACTAAATTGAGGCTATGGTACTTTGATCACATTATGAGAAGACAAGAGTCACTGGAAAACACAGTAACGCTAGAAAAAATAGAAAGCAGCAGGAAAAGAGGACGACCCAACATGAGATGGATTGACTCAGTAAAGGAAGCCAGAGCCCTCAAGATTGGAAGCCGTGAACAAGGTTGTTAAAGATAGGATGTTTTGGAGGTCGTTAATTCAAAGGGTCACCATAAGACCAAAACGACATGAGGGCACGTAACACAAATATATTTGCATGAAGTTTTAACATGGGAAAGAATGTTTAAAATGCAGAGTCCCGCCTCCTCTGCAGTTTGAAGTGCCCACTTTACCCGCCCCGAGTTCTACCCCCTCATTGTGCATACCAGACCCAATTAACTTCCCAAGTATTACAAAGTTTGAGTCCAGTGACACCTTTAAGACCAACAAAGTGTTATTCAAGGTATGAGTTTTTGTGTGCGCGCACGCGTCCTCCTCTGCGTGCACGCGAAAGCTTATGCCTTGGATAAAACTTTGTTGGTCTTAAAAGTGCCACTGGACTCAAACTTTGTTCTACTGCTTCTCATCTAACTTCCAAAGTGGCGCTCTGCAGTGCCGCTGTCCACGCAAGCCTTCTCTGCTCCCGGGTACGGGTTCAGGCCGCTTCTCCTTGCGCAGGCCTGGCTTCCTTCGCTGGAGGCGGGCCTCGTCATTTGGGGCGGGGCGCTTCGCGCTCGACCTGCCCACTGCCCCGTTCTCCCTTCGCTTGAAATCTTCTCGTCCCCGCCCCGCGTTCTCTCTGCACGGAGAAGTGCGTTGAAAGTGCTGCCTAGAATGCAAAGTCCGCGGTACAATGGCAGCAGCCAGGCGCGGTCGGCTGCTGGGTAAGGCGGGCGCTCCCCTTTTCTTAAGGGGCTGCAGATCCAGCCATTCGGGAACGGGGGTCTCGCTGAAACGCGAATACGAGGCGATCGTGATCGGAGCAGGTGCGTGCTAGGAAAGGGAGGGGAGACTGTATGGTGCCCAACCAGTGGCACACCACACCAGTTGGTGGTGGGTGCCCAGTTGGTAACCGTCTGGCCACATAGGTGGTCCTTGGGGAAAACTAGAGAGAACTTTGCTGCACAAGTTTGGAGAAAGGGGGGGGAAAGTAAGCGGGCTAAGGAGGAATGTTAGGCAATGGAGTGGAACAGACAGAGAAGGTTGCACCGTCGGACTTATTTGTCTAGACAAGAAAATCCGGGTGGTAAATGATTGCAGTGGCATAAAGACAGAGCCGTATCCAGCGAGGTGTGGGTCTGTTTGAAGAGCTGATCTGTATGCATGCTTTGAGGAAGGAGGTGAGGATACAGGCAAAATCAGGAAGAGTCTTGTAGCACCTTGAATACAAGCACCCTTCTGGCAGAATGCACTTGTTTTGATTGATTCTGGTTATGCCTCTGCAAGGGGACGCAAGTTATGCAGAGAGCAGGACGTCTGATAGGGTGCTTGTCTGTTTGCAGGACACAACGGATTGGTGGCTGTGAGTAGCGGGGACCCCAGTAGGTTGTGGCGCCCAGGGCTGGGCCCCTCTGTCCTGGGTTGTGCTGGAGGGAGGAGGAGGGGGTCACATGTCTGGGGTTGTAATGTGGCTCTGAAGCTCCCCAATGGGCTCTGGGGTTGTAATGTGGCTCTGAAGCTCCCCAATGGGGAGCCCAGAAAAGCAGCGGATGGGGCTGATCTGGGCTGAGGTAACACCTGCTGCTTCCACAGGCTGCCTACCTGCAGAAGGGGGGTTTAAAAACAGCAGTGCTGGAGAGACGACACTTGGTGGGGGGCGCTGCAGTCACTGAGGAGATTATCCCAGGTAACACCAAGGATTCCAGCTGTTGTTCCCCCCCATCCCCCCAGCAGGCAGACCTTAGTCCTCAATGCACCTGGCATCTGCTATCTTGCAGGTTTTCGGTTCTCCAGAGCTTCCTACTTGCTGAGCCTGCTGAGGCCCCAGATTTATTCAGAGCTGGAGCTGAAGGTATTGGAACGGGGCTGGGTGTTTGGTTTTTTTGCGGGGGGGGGGATAAGCAGAAGTAGTGGGAAGAGCCACGATTCCTGAGCTGGCATCTGGCAGTTCTGCTAGTGTCCCCCCCCCCCCGTGCCTGCATTTTCCCACACATTCTGACTTGTGACCCCTCTTCTCTTGCAGGTGGCAAGAGCAACCCCTCTCCCTTGTCCAACTATTCCATTTTTCATGGAGGTGGCATCTTAAAAGCTGGCAGATAATAGGTTTAAGAAGGCAAAAAGTTTTTTTGACTTCAGAAAAAAGAGATGACTAAATAGGTTGATGGCAGAGTTTATAGAATTCTCCCTCTCAAAATATTAGAATTGGGGGATCACCTAAGACCAGTGTGTAGAAGATGGTTCTGGTGGGACTGATGGAGATGGGAGAGGGAAGAATTCCCTTAAATACAAGGAGCCAGCCAATCTGCCCCTTTAAGTGTCTGTGACAGTTTAGCATGTCACACGTTTGGACCCAAAGGCCCAGCAGTCTTTTGTCTTGCAGAAACATGGCTTAAGAGTACTCCTGCGTGACCCTTATTCCTTCACCCCACTGTTGGAGGATGGTCAGGGCGGAAAAGCTCCCCACTCGCTGCTGCTGGGAAACAACATGGCCGAAACACAGTCCCAGATTGCTCAATTCTCTGTGCGGGATGCCCAGGTATCGAAGGGAAGATACAAAACAGATGGGGAAGTGAAATAAGCATAGCCATGTGGCACAGGAAGCTGGGCCCAAATAGCCAGGGAGGCAGTGAAAAGCCAGGAGGTAGATTGTGAGAAATGGGGCCTGCTTTTTGAGGGGAGTCTGAGGTCTGGGCCAATCACAGCAGTTTTCTTCTTCCTTCCCTTTTGCAGGCCTTTCCCAAGTATGAAGCATTCATGAGCCGCTTGGTGTCCGCCATAGACCCTTTGCTAGACACCTGTCCTGTGGACATGGCTGTGCTCAGTCAGGGCTCTCTGCTTCAGCGGCTCAGGGCCCTGCGAGGCGTGCAGATCCTGTTTCGTGCAGGTGAGGGGAGGGTGATGACCAAGCCCTGGGAGATCCAGCCAGCTTCAGATCCAAATGCACACATACCAAGATATCTTTTCAAGGGCCATTGCATGGCATATGTATGAGACAGAATCCCTGGACTAGAATGCCACATGGCCCTGGGGTCCCTTTCTGTAGGCCTGTGGTTCATCTCACCGCCATGCTACAGGGGCAGACTGTGACGTGCACTGTGCTTTCTGTGTCCGGGGCTGCCTGTGGATCTGTCTCTGAAGGGCGGTAATAGCAAGAGGAGTAAGAGGAGCACTTTCCTTTCCTGGGCTGTGGTTGAGCCACCTGTGACCCTGGTTTTCTTCTTGCCAGGATTTGCTCTGGGTAAACAGCTTCCCCAGTATTACCAGGTACTCACTGCCCCCATTTCCAAGGTGAGTGCAGCCGGATGACCAAAGGGAGCCGCCAGACTTCCCATACATTGGAATGGTTTCTGTGTTCAGACCACATCATCTCCTTAGTGGAGAACTGTCTCTTCCCCCAGCCTTGGAGCAGCTGCTCCCAAATAAGTCTGGAAAACTTTCATCCGAAAACGGTGTGGTGTGTCGCAGTAAGCATAGCAGCCTGGGCTGCTTTCCCACAGTGTTTGACAGAGGGGGTGGTACATGGGTAGGTTCTTCCTAGGAACCCCTTGAGGAACCGTCTTCCTCTCCCTATTGCTGCAGATCTTGGATCTCTGGTTTGAGTCAGAGCCCTTGAAAGCAACGCTGGCCACGGATGCAGTGATTGGTGCCATGGCTGGTCCCCATACACCAGGCAGCGGGTAAGGACCAAGTCGGAGGTGGACAGACCCCCTAGTTCTCACTGCTGTTCTCTGACCACCCTGTCTCTGTGAGTTCTGTTTCCTCCCCATTCACAGCTGGCCCCAAATCCTGTACCTTCACTGAGTATCTGAGATCACTCGAGATCTGCAAACAGGCATTGCTGGGAGCCAGCGGAGATTGCTGAGATTCCAAGCATGGCATTTGTGTGAGGCTGGAGAAGCTCCAGGGATCCCAACAGAGCCTTACATAGGAGGAGGCCAAGAAATCCGAGAGGGGACCAAGCCTGTCCTGGTGCTTCTGAGCAACTTGTGCCCCAGAAAAGCGGCAGCTTTTGCCCTGCTCTGGGAGCCCCCTAACCCTCCGTCTTTTTTGCAGGTATGTGTTGCTGCATCATGTCATGGGTGAGCTCGAGGGGCGCCAGGGGGCCTGGGGCTATGTGACCGGTGGCATGGGGGAGCTATCCCAGGCCTTGGCCCGTGCCGCTACCGCACTTGGGGCAGAGATCTTCACTGAGAAGGTGTGTGGGCCCTTGAGATTAAAGTGCATGATCTTCTCCTGAAAGGGCTGTAGGGGGAGGAGACGTTGGTCTGTATGAATGTTGGGAGGTGGGGGGAGAAGGGGGGAGGTTAAGTTATCTTAGAGCAGTAAAAGTGGTCGTTTGGAATAAGTGGGGCAGCCAGGTTCCACCTGCACTATAAGAAATAAACGTCCCCTCACCAAAGTCCTGAGGCCTTGACAGCCATGCCCTGCATTTGTTGGCACCACTGGGTATCTTTGTGTGGGGAACAGGGACAGAGACCAGGGCCCTGCCTCCTACCGCTGGTGCCTTGTCAAGATGGGGCATGCAACTTCTCCAGAGAGACATGTATAGCAGCCATGTGGGAAGTTGCACGTCTCCGCTTAACCCTCTGCTCAATCCTGCAGACAGTTGCCCAGATTCTTTTAAGCTCCGATGGGAAGGTGCGAGGGGTTGGCCTGCAGGATGGAACTGAAGTGAAGAGCCGCCTGGTGCTATCCAATGCATCTCCACAGCTCACCTTTCTGGAATTGACCCCCAAGGTGAGCTCTGCTCCTTGGCATAGCAGGTTAAGGGCCTCTGGAACACAGGGGCCAGGTCCCAGAACTGCCCCCAAGCAGGGTCGACCCAGAGCCTGCAAAGGGTATGGATTGGGTCTCTTCATCCCATTACCAGAAGAACCACAGGAGCTCAGCAGGGTCCTGAACAGGGACACCAGACTGAGGTTTGGTTTAAGCTACAGGGCATCCATTCCTTTCCCCCCTACTCTGATTTTGTCAGCCAAGCCTTGTTTTTTTAATTGATTTTCTCACGTGGATTGTCCTGACTGGATTTCTTCACTAGGAACTGTTTGCTGCAATCAATATAAAGTCTAGGCTGTCCTTGGGTGCAGCTCATAAGACTCTGTTAGTCAAGACTGTTCTTCTTGCCCAAATATACGGTGGCTTGCGTCACTCAACCTGTATCTATTTGCTTCATTTATAGTCTTCCTTTCTCTCAGAGGCTCGAGGCATAAATGATCTTGGTTGGGACTGATGTAGGGAGCTGTGATTCCCAGCCGTACGTGTATCATGATGCTTCGGGCCTTGCCACCTCTGATTGGCTGCCAGTCCCCAGTGGTTCATTTTGTCTGCAACTCTTCTCACTAGGAACAACTGCCGCTGGAGTTTGTGCAGAGACTTTCACAATTCGACACACGCTCCCCGGTCACCAAGATCAATGGTGAGCATTGCAGAGAGACAAACAGGTCAGAAGATTCCATACAAAATTTCCATTTGGATGGTCCTCTGAATCACAGGTAGTGGCCGAGTACCCTGACCTGGAAAGCCTGATCCTGTCAGATCTCGGACGCTAAGCAGGGTCAGCGCTCATTAGGTTTTGGATGGGAGACCACCAGAAAATACCACGGGCATGACGCAGAGGCAGGCAATAGCAAACCACCTCTGAAACATCTCTTGCCCTTTAAAAAGTCTAGCTTGCCACCTAGTGGCGCATAACACTAAAATACCTAGAACTTCTGGCTGCCAGGCAGTCTTAGGATCTCCTGACTACTACACACACTGTCATATGAGAATTAATGAATTAATTAGTGACAGAGTCAGGGATGAATAGGATAATCTCATGAATAGGATTTTTAAAAAAAACCACCCTAACTTAGTAAAAACAAATAGCATTTTTGTCCATGTTTAATGTACCTTTTGCTCTGGTTCTTCAGGCAAGGAAAGCCACAGCTTTTACACCAGGAAGCCAGTAGAATCCTTGTGGCAGCCCACCCAAAGTCCACGGAGTCAAAATGGACATTCTAGTGAGGTATCTCTCCCTTATTATAAAAGAGTTTTGGGTGCCAGAATTCTAAAATTGGCCCCTTTAGTGTTAGGCCGAAAAAACTGCCACTCGGAAGACACTGGCTGGGTTCATTGGCTGCTTTGTGCAGTCCCGGCCAGCGTTCCAAGGTCATTTACATATGGAAGCTGATTGGACTACACTCCATTCCACGCGGCTGGAGGCTTCTGCCTCGCTGGGCCTGGCATTGGGGGGGTTGTTAGGGGAAGGGATGCCGCAGCCAGAGGACTCTGCCTCGGCCCCTGGCGTGGGGGGGGTGGGAGGGGAAGGGACGTCGCGGCCGGAGGCTTCTGCCTCCCCGGCCCTGGCGTTGGGGGGAAGGGGAAGGGTAGCTGCAGGACGCCGCGGCCGGAGGCTTCTGCCTCGCTGGGGCTGGCGTTGGGGGGGTTGTTAGGGGAAGGGATGCCGCAGCCAGAGGACTCTGCCTCGGCCCCTGGCGTGGGGGGGGTGGGCGGGGAAGGGACATCGCGGCCGGAGGCTTCTGCCTCGCCGGCCCTGGC